CCCTTGCTGAGCCTGGGGCTCGTGTTGGGGTGGTGAGAGGCAAGGCTGGAAACACAGGCTGGGACCAAGGATCAGAGGCACTGCAGGCCTCACAAAATTGCCTGCCACCTGTCCAGGAGGCAACAGGCAGACCCCAGAGATCTTTGAATAAAGTAGTGACCCACCAAAAGTGGCTAAGAATTTATCCCTTCAGGAGGAGGACTGCAGTTTTACATATGCAGAGATAAACGCCACCTCTTGGTGTGAATACTACCCTAGCTCACACTGGCGCCATTCAGAATTGGAAGAGAAAAAAAGATGGAGATGTTTGCATTCCCTCTTAGAGATGATTCTCCTTACAACTCCAGGTTTTAGATGGGCTCAATATGTAACTAAAAACAGGATAATCTGCTCTTAGGACACTCTTCAAAAACATGACTTCAGGGGGCTCACAAGTGGGGGTGAGCAACGTTGACATGGCTTCACCGTGGCCAGCATATGCCAGGTGGCTTGGGAGCTAGCTCCCTGCCACACTGAGGAATGCCAAGGATCAGGCCTCAACTGGATGACTGACAAAACAGAATCATAAAAAAAACCTTTGAATTATCCTCTGAGAAGGTGGAAATATCATTTACATTATTAGAAACTCAAGAAAAAGTTTAACTTCTTTCAAACTGAGCCAATATTATTATACTTAAACTTGGATACAATACAATTAGAACTCCCTGGTGGGCGAGCCCCTTCCTGGGCAGCAGCTCTTCCAGGCCACCCCTCGGAGTTGCAACTCATGCTACATAAGTGGGTGCTGGTGTGCAGTCTGGGATCTTTTAGGAAGCACCTAATGAACTCATTAGAAAGATCTGCTCCTTTCCCTGTTGTTAAGTCAACAATTACAGTTGTTGTGCCACCTTCCCCCATGTTGCAATTCTTTTATTAAGCTCTCAGCGCTGTAGGAAACACGTGTTCTTAGACAAACTGTATTCAAAAGGGGCAAAGCCCATAAACACTGACTTTTTAGAACTACACAATAGGATATGGGGTGTAAGAGGAGTTACGTGTGTTCCTGCTCCCACCACCAACTCCCTGCTTGGTGGGTTTAGGGTGGACCATGAGACTCCCCAGAGGGCAATTTGAGGTGGAATAAATGGAGGCAGTGGTTTTTGTACTCTGGTTTTGAGTATGAATTATTAATTTGCCCTTTAGTTAACCCAGCTTTTCTCTGCTTGGTGTCCCACCCAGGACCATCTTTCTTCTCATCTGGACTGGTAGTGGCTGAGGCAAAGAATAGATGGGTAAACACAGGGAGTTCCATTTGCTGCCCAAACTATCTATGGCCCAAAAAGGTTTGAACAGGCAACCAGGGGAAGGAAGTGGTGTGATGTTCATGGAAAAAGGTTGTTCAGTTGTTCTAACAATAACTTGGAACAGCAGCTGAGGAAAGGCCAGGCACCCAGGAGACGATGCACACTAGGGCCAGGAGGGCTGGGTATGTTTCTCACTTGGCTTGTCTCTTACGGCTAGAGAACCCCCAGAGAGTTGTCTTGTTTTTCTGATTCGTTTCCTCATCTGTAAAATGGGAACAGTAATGGCTACCACTCAGCTGCACTAAGGATTAAATGAGATCATGCCGGCAAAGGTGTGCTGTGCACCTTTCGGGGTGATCATTAGGACGAAGGAAGCCAAGAGGCTGAGAGGAGGACTGACTGCCTCTCTCCTCTACAGGAATGGAAAGATGGCCTGAACAGAGCTACTTTCCCCTCCAGTCCTGTCTTCTGGCAACCGGCATAACCAAGGAGGAGCTCCATACTAGTCAGTCAACTGGATCTAATCCCCACCTCCTGCTGCCAGTTTAATGAACAGCCTATCAGAATCACCTTGCTTTCTCAAGGTCTTTATACATGATCTGGGGGTGTCAGTAGGAGTGACTCACAGTAGTGTTTTCAATTCCAGCAAGGAATTGCGCCCTTCAAAAATTACCACAAAGATTTACCAAGCCCAGGTGCATTCTCAGGTGACATCAGGATGAGGTACCACAACAGTGGTCCTGAGTAATGCTCCTGCTGCCATCGTGATGCACTGGTTCACTCTACCAGGAATGCATTCATCAGCTGCTACAGAATCATCAACAGAGCCATGACTTGCATCTGCAGCTGGGACTCAAACCTGTGTGGGCCTTTGACTGCTCAGGAACAATTTCCCTAGGTGATAACAACTCCAAAAGAGAAAACTCTTTCCTCCTTTGCTGGCTCCTCTTACACTAACAATCAAGCAAGTGAATGTAATGCTCTCTCACCTCCCCAAAGATGGAGCCTCTGACTGCCCAACTGTAAGCTCCTTGGTGGTGAGGGCCAGCTTATGGCCTTCTTCCATAGATCCTGAAATTCCCCAAACATGGTAAGCTCTCAAATCAATTCTCCCCACTCAGAACACACATATATTCCTTTCTCACTCTTCACAACTTCTCTTTGTCTAGTTCTGCTACATCTGAAACTATATTCAGACAATTGTCTCATGAGCCACAACCAATTATTTACCTATCCATTCAGACATTTACTGAGTGTTTTTTATGGGCCAAGAACTATGCTAGACACTGGTAGGGGAGAGGGGGAAAGATAAAAATGGCATCATCTCTATTTTCAGGAAGCTCATACTAAAAACATGCAGGGAGTACAGCTTTAGGAAGCTCACGGGGTTTGTAGAATTGGGACTAGATAAGATTCTTGCCTTAAAGATCTTGCCACTTTGGGCCAGTGAAGACCACCATGAACAATGGGAGGGCCCTGGGTATCGTATAACCTGGGCCAGACACTCCCCAGGCTGTCAGCCAATCAGCAGTCCAGTCACAATGATGCCACTGGGCGTGCTCCTGCTCCTTTAGGTGGGCTGGCTTGGCTCTGTTTTGGGCTAAGCTTAAAAAAAAAAAAAAAAAAAAAAGACCATGTTTCTTCTTTGATAGGTCTTGGCCAAGTTTCGCAAGTCATTTCTTCAGACTGTGTGTGTATGTATCTCATTTCATTTCTGGTCTCTTGCTCGAGCCCCAAGCTCAAATATAGCACGCCTACTTGACACTGCCACTAGGAAATCAGTGTACTTTCCATCTCAGGTTTAACCTGCTTAACACCGAACTCAAGATATTCTTCCTACACTTCACCTATTTCTGCCTCAGTAAATGGCACCATCTTAGACCTAGATGCTCAGGCCAAAAAAAATCTAGGTGCTATCTTTGGTTCCTCTCTTTTCCTTTATCCCACATCCCACATATCAGCAAGTTCTGCTGACTCAACCTGCGCATAACCTGAATCCAGCCACTCCCATCTTCTGTGCTGCCATCCTCATCCAACCCCCCACCATCGCTCGCTTATAGTACCATAATCGGCTTCTCTCCAGCCTCCTTGCTTTTTTGTTATTGCCCCCTATAGCCCACTCACCACACAGAACCAGAATAGTCTTAAAAAAAGTAAATTGGGGCACATCAATCCCCTCACTAAACATCCCCAGTGACTTCTCACTGGCCTTACAATGAGGTCTAACAGCTAATCAGAGCAGATAATATCCTATTGTGCCTGGCTCCTGACCTCCACCTTAGCAAACTCCACCTTACTTATTACCCTGCAGCCATTCTGGCTTTCTTTCTGTCCTCGAACATGTCAATCTGCCTCCTGCCTTTGGGCATGCGCAGTGTCTGGAATGTCCTTCCCGCCAAGTGTACATGGCTGGCTTATCCTCTTGCCTTAGGTCTTACCTATGTGTCATCTCCTCAGAAAGACCCGACTAATAACATTACTCTTTTATCATGCTATCCTATTTTCTATTGATCACAGTACTTATCTGTCTTATGTAGACCTACTTGTTTATTGTGTCCTGAACTACAATGTAAAACTTCATGCGGGCAGGACTTCACCTGTTTAACACTGCTGTTTCCCTAGCACCGCTCCAGGCATATGGTAGGTGCTCAATAAATATGAGCTATATGAACGAATGAATCCCAGAGCTGCAGCGCCAACCTGGAGGAGAGCAAGAACGTAGGCCTACTACTCACACACAGCTACGTGAGCTGAGGACCCAAACCTGCTGCACAGGCTTACAGGGCTCAGGAAGAACGCAAACGCTTAGCCGGGACCTGCAGAGTTTACTGGGGATTAGCTCAGTCAATACACAACACTGCGAGATAATGAGGTAACGTTACCGTGACACGGGAGCAAAAAGCTGAGGGTGTCACCAGCTGCCACTGCTGTTGTGGATCTCAACTGTCTGCACCTTGAATCACCTGGGGAGCTTTTTTTTTTTTTTTTTTTGAGACAGAGTCTGGCTCTGTCGCCCGGGCTGGAGTGCAGTGGGCCGGATCGTTCAGCCTCACTGCAAACTGCGCGGTCCGGGGCGTTTACTCCATTTCTCTGCCTCACACCTCCCAGTAGCTGGACTACAGCCCGCCCGCCTCGGCACGGTAGTTTTTTTGTATTTTTTTAGTAGAAGACCGGGGGTTTCACACCCGTGTTCGCGACCAGGATGGTCTCGATCTCCTGACCTCGTGATCCGCCCGTCTCGGCCTCCCAAAGTGCTGGGATTACAGGCTTGAGCCACCGCGCCCAGCCCTGGAGAGCTTTTAAAACACTGAGGTCAAGATCCCACCCCTAGAGATTCTGTATCTTAAGTTTTTGTTTGTTTTTTGATTTGCGGAGACGGAGTCCCACTATGTTGCCCAGGCTGACCTCCTGGGCTCAAGCGATCCTCCCGCCTCCGCCTCTCAGAGTGCTGGGATTATAGGTGTGAACCACCGCGCCCGGCCCATCTGGAGTTTTAAAAAAGCTTCCTCGGCAATTCCTAGGTGCAGCGGGGGGAGAGCGCTGAGTAGAAAGGGCGTAGCTCTCAGTAGCTCCCTGGGGAGAAACGGGGGTCTGCGCTCACGTGCGGCCTGGAAGGAGGACGCGCGCATGCGCAGATCCCGCTGCTAGCGCGCTAGTTGGCCCCGCCCCTGCCTCGTCCTTTCCTCCCCTCGTCCCAGCCGCCTCCCCGCCGGTCACCTGGGTATTCTCTCCCTCCCGAAAGGCCTGTGCTACCCGCTGTCGCAGGTAAGCGCCCAAGTCCCGGCCCCGTTTGGTCTCGTCCACTGGCCATTCCTCACAGAGCTTAAGAAAACGCCGGTACCGGCTGGCCGCCATTTTGGGCCCCGTGTGTTCCCGCCTTAGGGGGAGGAGTCGCCGCCAATGGATGGTACTTGCGCACTAAGTCTCGCCGCCTTAGGAGTGGGGCGGGAGGCCGAAGTGGGCATGCGCGACTTTGCAGGCGCCCAGTTACTCTCCGGGTAGGGGCGCTGCTCGCCTTTCTCTGCAAAGCGAGCTAATTCAGTCGTCCTCCTCCTGGAACCGGCCCAACTCCCAGGGGCAAGGCGGACGTGGAGTACCTCAGGGACAGCTTTGCTTCTCTTTTTCAATGAATGCACAAGCTTGAGACTAAAAAACCCTCCTCCGAGGCCTCCGCTGTTTTGCGTAAACCAATACATTTGCATGTAAATACAGGTTACTGGATGAAGATGTGTTTGAATGTTGTTCGTGTGTGCCCCTGCACCTGTCACTATCCCTTGGTACTCTGCCGCAGTTCCTTCTTTAGTGCTTCCTAGTTCTTGTTCCTCTCTGCCCAGTCCCTGCTAGTATACCTTCTGTTCCCCCCTTCATACCCCTCATAAGCCAGACATTTTTCTCTGGGAGGCCCAGGTTTTCTAGAATGAGCAATGCCAACTGGGTTGATTCAGAAAAACTTTTTTTTTTTTTTTTTACAATTTATTAATTTTGTATTGTGGTAAAATACGCATAACAAAATTTACTATCTTAACCATTTTGTTTTAGACAAAGTCTTGCTATGTGGCCCATGCTGGTCTCAAACTCTTGGGCTCAAGTGATCCTCCCACCTTGGCCTCCCAAAGTGCTGGAATTACAGGTGTGAGCCACCACACCTGGCCTTAACCTTTTTTTTTTTGAGATGGAATCTTGCTCTGTCACCCAGACTGGAGTGCGGGGAATGGCGCAACCTCTGCCTCCGGGGTTCAAGTGATTCTCCTGTCTCAGCCTCCGGAGTAGCTGGGATTATAGGCGCCCGCCGCCATGCCTGGCTATGTTTTGTATTTTTAGTAGGGATGGCGTTTTGCCATGTTGGCCAGACTGGTCTGGAACTCCTGACCTCAGGTGATCTGCCTGCCTCGGCCTCCCAAAGTGCTGGGATTACAGGAGTGAGCCATGGTGCCCGGCCAGCCATTTTTAAGTGTACAGTTCATAGGTATGAAATAGCACTGAATAATATTGTGCAGCCATCACACCATCTCCCTAACTCTTGTAAAACTGAAACTCTATACTCATTGAACAATAAATCCCCATTCCCCCCTCTCCCCCCAGCCCCTGGCAACGACCGTTCTATTTTGTCTGCATGATTTTGACTACTCTAGGTACCTCATGTAAGTGGAATCCTGCAATATTTTTACGACTGGCTTATTTTGCTTAGCATAATATCTTCACCTCAAGGTTCATTCATTTTGTAGTATATGTCAGAATTTCCTTCCTTTTTAAGGCTGAGTAATACTCCGTTGCATGTATGTGCTACATTTTGTTTATGCATCCATTGATAGACACTTAGGTTGCCTCCATGTTTTAGCTCTTGTGAATAGTGCTGTTATGAACATGGATGTACAGACATCTCAAGACTTTGCTTTCAACTCTTTTGGTATATACCCAGAAGTGGATTTGCTGGATCATATGGTAATTCTATTTTAAGTTTTTTGAGGAACTGCTGTACTGTCTTCCACAGCAGCTGCACCATTTTACACTCCCACCACCAGTGCACAAGGGTTCCAATTTCTCCGCATCCTTACCGACATTTGTTATTTTCTGGTTTTTTGATAGTAACCATCGTAATGGGTGAGAGCTGTATCTCAATGTAGCTTTGAGTTGTGTTTCTCTAATGATTAGTTATATTGAGTATCTTTTTATGTGCTTAGCCATTTGTATATCTTCAGAGAAATACTTGTTCAAGTCCTTTACCTGTTTTTAATCGGGTTTTTTTTGTTGTTGTTGTTATTGAGTTTTAGGAGTTCTTTGTATATTCCAGATATTAATTCCTTGACCGCTATGTGATTTCAAAATATTTTCTCCCGTTAAAATGTGTTTGTTTTACCAAGTCTTCTCTTATATGTCTCTAGCTACATCACCATGTGAACTGATTTTTGTTCTCAAAAGACTGTCCCACCATCTGCATTTTTCATAAGGAAGCCTCAGTGTATCTCTACTGTCCTGTATTTAGCCAAGACCATCCAATGTGTACAAAACTTTGCTTCCTCCAAACCTTTTCCTTCTTGTCCTACCTACGTTTTAAAGGTAAATCTAGGAGAGTCCTGCCTTCAAGAAGTTGACAGCCAAGTCTGGGAATGTGTACATAACCAGGACATAAAGTTACAGATGACAAGAGCTTTAACTGAAGTGTTAGACAATGCTAGAGAGTTTGGAGAAACACAGGTCTGCTGTTCAGAGGAGAGTGGGAGAAGATCAGGGATGGCTCCAAGAACAACCAGAGGCAGGCCTGGGGTGGCAGTGGGAAAGAGAGGGAGGAGTTTAATTTGAGGAAAGATCAGTGGGTGATTTTAACTGGCATGACTTTAACTGTTCCGAAGATGTTAAGAGTAAACCACTGAAGGAAAACCTCTGGGGACCAGAATGTGTGATGCCCGCCTGAGGTAAGGAGAGTTCAGGGGGAGTGGAAAATGAGGCGCCCAAGGGCACCTCCTCCAGAAAGCTCCCCTGATTAACCTCCCCAGGTTCCCAGCCCAGCAGTCTCTCCCTGCTCCATCCTCACCTCATAGCCATGTAGTTTTGATGACAGCCCTGAGGTACAAAGGACAAGAATTGTATCTATTATCAAAGTCCAGGCACCTAGGGCTGTGCTGGCTGCCCTGAGGTGCTCTCATAGCTGTAACTTTAAAGAGCACCTGGCTGGTCCACATCTGTCCTGGAAGGCAGGGCCAAGGTCCCTCTGTCTTAGGCAACCAAAAAGTAACATTAGGTGGCAGCAAATGGTTTTCATGCCGCTTGAGGTGCAAGGACAATGAGAGGTTGAGAAGAACGCTGGGCTCCAGAGGAAGTGCAAACAGATGCTTCCTCTTAAGGTGCTCCCTTCCCCTGTACCCTAGCTTCTTCTCGCTCAGGCTGTGATAGTCCCTGGTTCTGACTGCCCTGCCCACCTCTTTTCCTCCATATGGAAGCTTGTTTGGTATGGTGGTTAAGTAGTAGGGTTTTGGAGTCTGACAGACCTGGTTGGAATGTAGGCTTGCTCATTCATTTGTTCATTCATTCATTCACTCACTGATCTATAGCCCTGATCACTCTATCAGTATAATTTTCTGGGGCCCAGTGCAAAATGAAAATGTAAAGCCCTTTGTTAAAAAATTGTTAAGGCCAGGCATGGTGGCTTGCGCATGTAATCACAGCTACTTGGAGGCGGGAGGATCACTTGAGCCCAGGAGTTCGAGACCAGCCTGGGCCATATGGCGAGACACCCCCATCTCTCCAAAAAATTTAAAATATTAGCCGGATGTGGTGGTGCACACCTGTAGTCTTAGCTGTGTAGGAGGATGGCTTGACTGCTTTGAACCCAGGAGTTAGAGGCTGTAGTGAGCTGTGATTACACCACTGCACTCTAGCCTGGGTGACAGAGTGAGACCTTGTCTCTGAAAAAAATTGTTAAGAATTTCAAGACAGTAACAGCAGAGCGTTAAAGCAAATGTAGCCCCTTCTGAGTGCGGGGCCCTGGGCGAGTGTGCAGGCCACACACCCATAAAGCTGGCCCTGAGTTCCTGTCATGTGGTGGACAAGACAAGTGAGGGCCCTGCCCCTATGGGGACAGACAGCAACCAAGCAAACATATAATAATAATAGTGCTCTTATAGTTCATTTGCTGAATGAACAAGATAATTTCAGATGTAATAAGTGCCAAGGAAAGATCAAGGCGGGGTGCTGGGTCCACAATGATTGGGGCAGGGGAGGGGTCAGTGGTCTGGAGGCCGTCCCTGAGCAACTTGTGAGTCACCTGAGGGGGCAGCCACGGGAAGATGGGCAAGAGAGGCTTCCAGGCACAGAGCAGCAAAGGCAAACATCTTCAGAGTAGCCAAACTCAGGTGGGTTATTTAATTACTGTAAGCTTCAGTTTCTTCATCTTAAAATGAGAACTATGGTGATAAATTAATACTATTTACTATGTGCCAGCACAATTTTTTTAAATTTTAATTTTTTATTTTATTTGTTCTTTTTTAGAGACAGGGTCTCAGTCTGTCACCCAGGCTGGAGTGTAGGAGCACAATCAGAGCTCACTGTAGCCCCGAACTCCTGGGCTCAAGTGATCTTCCTGCTTCAGCCTCAGCCTCCTGAGTAGCTGGGACTACAGTTGGGCACCATGATGCCCAGTTAATTGTTTTATTTTCTGTGGAGATGGGGTCTCGCTATGTTGCCCAGGCTGATCTCGAATCCTAGCCTCCCAAAGTGTTGGGATTATAGGCATGAGCCACTGTGCTCAGCCCAGGCACAATTCTAAATGCCTTACACCTATGTACTCATTTAGTCCTCACAATGGCTCTCAGATTTATGTACCACTGTTATCCTGCCATTTTTTACAAAAACTGAGGAAACTGAGGCACAGAGAGGATAAGGTCACCAGCTGGTAAGTTGCAGAGCCAGGACTTGAGCCCAGGCTGGGTGGCTCAGAGCCGCGCTCTTGGCCACTCCCCCAGGCACCTGTTCACGCCCCCTTGCAGCATTATCATCGTAAACCTTGTGCTTGATGTGTTTATACACCTGGTGTAGCCTTGGCCAGTTCCAGCGCAAAGTAAGCCAACACATCGCAGTGGCTATCATTGATCATTTTCTAGGCCCCCTTTTCCTTTCCCTGTGCCCGTGGGTGGTTTCAGCCAGTCTGGACTCACCGGCTTGTCAATCACCCAGTGCCATTCCCAGCACATTAATAGGCACTGCCTGGAATGCAGCTCAGTGGTGCCAGCACCTTGGGGAGTTGATGACCATTTTAACACCCACCTGCTGGCTGTCACTCATTCCACACTGAATGCAGCCCCCTTGGCTCATTGAAAACCCCCACCAGGGCCTCACCTCCCAAGTCATCTGGAGTGGGTATTTGGGCTTTATGGAGCCCTGATTGCTCTTTGTAGAAACTAGGCACCAT